TTCCAGAAAACGCGAGGCTTTACCAACGAGCAAGTGGTGGAAATAGTCTATTCAGATATGGCTACAGAAGAAAAACATTGCTTTTGAAGAGGGTCTACTGGAAGCGAGATTTACTATCAATTGTCCAAAAAGAGAAACAAAAATTCAACAAATTCGAAATTGCAAAAGCAAGTGGATGTGAAGTATTACGGCTACCTCCTTACCACTTAACCCCATTGAAATTGTATGGGCACAGGTAAAATGTTACGTAGCAATGAGGAATACTTCATTCAAGATCAATGAAATGGAACCCCTCATACGCGAAGGTTTCAAACAGGTGACACAGGAAAATTGGGAAAACTACATTTCACACGTAGTGAAAGTGGAAAATGAGATGTGAAAAAAGCTGATGAATTACAAGAAGTAGAAGAATTTTAAATTCATGCATCAACATCGTCGTCTTCCGTCATCTGACTCCTCGGGTTTAACAGAAGAAGAGAACAGAAGCGAAACATGTGAAAGAATAGAGGGAGCCTCGTTACAAAATTAAATGGTTTTGTAATTTTTGGTAAGTGACCATTTTATTACTTGATGACAATTATTTAACTGAAACTATTATTATACTTTATTTAAAAGTGATGCAAAAGAACACTAGATTTCGGCCAATCATTAAAGGAAACCGTAAAGAATCTTATATTGCAAACGATAGTTCATTATATTGAATTCAGGAATACCGTATAAAAATTGTCAAAAAAGTTTTGCAACTAGTATACTTCAATGATTAATTGTATCACTCACGCACGTGTACGACCTTCTCGTCAGGACAGGCGTTGCGCGGAGATTTCCGCGCTTCGGCGGGCAGCATGTGATGGAAAACCTGATAATAATTGTCGTAAAACACCACTTGCAATGTTTCATATCATACTGACATTCATTTTATGGGTTTTGAAAGGTGTTAAACAAGCTGGTAAAATATCACGTCAATCCGAGCATCTAGTAAGGCGATCACATTAATCTAAATCTATTCCATTGAGCCTATGTCATTGGATTAGCTGATACATTACAAGAGGAGCTGCGGCAAGGTTGTTCGGAATCCTTTCTTTACCGATTCCACCCTAAAATAGACGATTACTTCTACCGACCACGTCTCTCAGAGTTGAATCGCAACGAAGATATACAAGTACGTATATGAAATACATCCAGCACTTCCACAGGTACAGCAAAGTGAAGGGAAAACTCGGGCTGCATGAATTATGTCAAATTTTTTCCTTCTGGGGCGGCGCAAGGTGGTCTCAACTGAGTAGACGAAACGGGTGAACTGGCAAATATATATGATTTGGTATACCTTTGAAAATATATTACATCTTTTGTAGTGTTATTTTATTAGTATTTCATTCGGTTTTGCAATTTACGCATACAATAATTTGTTATAACTAAGTCATCATTCAGAGTCGATTACAAAAAACACCCACCTCTAGGAAATTAAGATGTTAAACGAAACTTAGTGAATAGTTTTCTATGATCAGTTGACTTGACCTACACCTCTCAAAATGGCAACCGTTTAATATTATTATACGACGCAAAGAAAGCATCATCATATAGGGGCATTACACCACGAGTGCGTTCCACTGCTCCTAATTGTTTTCTAATAAACTATGCAACTTCTACATATTATATACCTACACTTTTTCATGCCTTTATAAAACCTCTTTATTCAGAGTCCACTTTATTTTATTTTTCAATTAAGACAATGCAACTTGAAAGCCTGCAAAACTACATGTTTTAACTGAGTTAACTCTTACGGGCGATAATAAAAAATAAGAAATATATCCAGTAAATTAATATATATCATTAAGTGAAGAGTGAATTCGCTGACTTCACTATTCACTGGGGACACGGATTGATTTTAAGTAAAAAAAAATAATTTTTTTTGGTATTAAATATTTTATAAATCTTTATAACTTTCTCATTAAATAGGTTGAATTCTACGTTTGAATTATGTTGATATCACACTTATAAGTTTGTTTGTGTGTGTGTGCGCGCGCGTGTGTGTGTGGTGTGTGGCGTGTGTGCGCGTGTGGCATGTGTGCGCGTGCGCGTGAGTGTGAGTGTGTGTGAGTGTGAGTGTGTGAGAGTGTGTGTGTGAGAGTGTGAGTGTGTGTGTGTGTGTGTGTGTGTGGGTGTGTGTGTGTGTGTAAGTGTGTGTGTGTGTGTGTGTGTAGATCTCGTTTGGCTTAGGTGCTGCTTCCAATACGTGAACTACTTTCCTGTATACATACGTATTTACGGAATAATATACGTAGTATAGAGGAAGTTATGTAATGCTGCGCGAAAAACTGAGGATTTTCGGCAGAAAAAATTCATTGCCGGGCCCTGATAACTGGTGGATAAATCCAGTTGCTAAATTAAGAAAAGAAATTCTCTAACACGTGGTGTAACCGGAATCCCTGTTTTGTGCATCCTTGACACCGAAAAACCAATTGGCAAAAGTCCGTTATGTCTGTGAATCTGTCTGTCCATCTGTCTAGCGCATGAACCATACGTACGATTTTTTCCAAAATGGATATTCCTCGGTCGATCTTGCTCCAAACAAGACGCAGCGATTTTGAAGAACGTTCTTCAAAATTTGGGGGTACTTTACATGATGCTCCCTGAACTTATTCAACATTTTCTCAAAAACGGCTCCAATTTTTTCCTTTTAAATCATTGCAAAGATAAGAGTAAAATGCACTTATAAAGGTGGCTTAGGTCCGATTTTCACGGTTAACTCTAAATTTTCGAGAACTGCAAAAGTTTGATTTTTTTGCGGCGTCTTCCTACAACTACAAAATTGAAGATAGAGATTTTCCCTTCAAATACAGTTTGTTTTCTTGAGAGTTCTTTAATTAAGGTCATATACATTTTTTAACATATTAGTAGTTTTCGCGCAATATTACGAGCAAAGGTTTTCTAAAAAACGTCCAAATGTCTTTAAACTTTTGGAAGAGAGGAAACTAAATTACACTCTTTGAGATGATATAAACGCCATATTGCTCTATTCTTCTGTTGTTGTTTTCCAAAATTTACAGAAATGCACTTTTTTACTTGTCTCACACGTCGTTAATATTTATATTAGTGGCGATTTGTTCATATGAATATATTTATGAGTACATGTGCTTTAAATAATGTCTCTCGTGACATTGCTCTCGCTCGTGACATGGAAGTGTCACTGTGTTTAAATCGAAGAATAAATCTCAGTAATCTGAGAAGCATGGAAGCCGGGAGAGGGAAATCAAGAGGACTATACTTCGATTTATTTGTAGTGACGCTTGACGAAAATAACCTGTTACGGTGTCATCAAATCGGGTGCTTAAACATGACCAGTGACGTCACTGTGACGTTCAATCCTCAGATTGCATGACACCGTCAACAGCTGATAATTATAATTATATATTTGTTACATAAATACAGCATACGCCATGTATGACAAGTCAGGATATGTATATTATCATACAACGTACTATAAAGGTATTTCTAAAGATTAAATGCAAGACAAATTAAAATTCAATTTAATTCTCGTACTAAATGCAATATAATGGTTTACGTCAAGCGCCACTACAAATACATCTAAGTATAGAAACTAATTACAAATTATTCCAGCCCTCTTGGGAGAAACTACCCCATCGACGCCGTCAACCAGGTAACAGCTTTTTTCCCCTCCACAAAAGGAAGGGAATTAACTTTCCGACGCTTTCCAAGACTAATCTTACTTCTCCACGGGATTGACATCACATAGCTCAACGGTGGGCCGATGTCCCCTTTAAAAGTAATTATGGAGTAATAAATTAAGAAGAGCGACGAGTAAGTTTTGTAAAATATCCAGTAAGTAATTATTTGTCAGCAAATTAATATTATACATTGTATGTTCCAATGTGTGTTCGGCATGCGACAATCCAAAACACATTTGATATTCCCTTCAAATTCTACACAGCGGCCGGGCAACTGCAAATACATATACAAGTATGTCCACATACAAATATCATACATAAAGGTTAGTTGGGATATATGAATTGATACACATAAGAGGAAAGTTTCGAAAAACTACGAAAATTCCATTTTCTAATCATAGGAGCATACCGACAATATAATTTTTCTAAGTTCTATGAATTTGTAAATATAATTTTGGACGACATTCAAAGGTCGGTAATAATAATAAGTCGGCCCCATGGCGCATACGGTTGCGGCAGCCGTCGTCTGCGCCGAGGAGGCTGCTGGTACGAGTCCTGCGTAGGCATGGTCGTAATTATGAGTGTCACATTATTCATAATTCAAAGGATAACAACATTGTCTTATCAAAAAATACATCCGTAAAAGCTTATTCCCATAATTCCTCACGTTAATCTCTATGGGGTCTCTGAAGATAACGCGCCGCGTAGGTAGTCATAAATGGCACACACGCTAATAATAATAAATTCTCGGCTATCCGGGAAAAGCCGCGTCGTTGGCTGGGGTGCCGACGTTTCGTCTGACTTGTCGCAGGCTTCCTCAGGGCAGTGAGTCACTGCGACATGTCAGGCGAAACGTCGGCACCCCAGCCAACGATGCGGCGTCTCCCGGATAGCCGAGAATTTATGGATTTGAGCCGTGGAAGCTTACGTATACGCTAATAATAATGTGAAAGATAAGAAATTACTTTAAAAAAATCGTTATTTTCTCTCTCTCTCTGACTCATTTTTTGGTTTGCTTACAAGTGGTGAAAATAAACAGAAAATAAATATTTCAATATACTGTCAATGACCCTCAGGTTTACTTTGTGTACAGTTCATATGGAATTACTTATATTTACCACCACGATTTCCATTTTAAGAAATTATTTAGAACTCCTGCATCATGGAAGAAAGAAAAATCTGCTTAAAAAATATTCAAAACATAACCAATCAAAAGAAATAGTCATACATCACAAAAGCCCTGTTATTGATCTTATGCACAGAAAACCGATTTCCTTGAAATAGAATTCTACTTTTTTAAAGTCAGTAACTCACCACTTGGTTTAAAGTGTCCTCTAATTCAGCCTCTTCAGGATTTTTGCTGCTCTTTTTTAATAGTAAATCACAATATTTTGCTAAGAGTTCTGGAGATTTCGATGAACTGTTAGCCTGACGGGTAACTGTGTTACTATTAATGAAACGTCCACAAGCTTTATCAAGAGCAGCCACAAAGCCAGAATCATTGTTGAAAGCAGTGAGTACGAGAGCATTATATTTCTTGTGCACTTCCAATATTGTATTAACATACATCTTTGGATCCTGAAAACAAACACAGTTGAATTATGAAGCTTAATCTTACAAGACATTACTTTCAATACAAAAGAAAAATTATACTTTTTTACAAATTTTATTTACTTATATTAATTCAATGTGTTTTTATTAAGGCTATTTCTGAATTCATCTATTTGAGTAAGATGTATAAACGATTTTAATACTATCTTAAACCATTTGTTAATCATAATAAACAAGTTGAATTAAAGGTAAACTTCCCCACTATTCACATACTAGATTAAGACAAAAACTGAATTATAAGTTTTAATGATTTTATTTCAATATAAGTATTAATTAAACCAATCATTTCACATACATTATTGGCTCCTTCACCACATTTATCAATGGCAGCAAGGCCCTGAGCAGCTATGTGTGCCTCGAGCAAATTGCTCAGTTCACCTAAGCCATCAGGTATTCGTGCAACCAACTGGTACATCCTCCCAAGGTCCTCATTCTTGTCAGCATCAAGCAGATTTTGGAATTCTGCATGGAATATTTCCAGATGCTTTTCAATAAGGACTTTCTCACAGGTCTTCGCAAGACGCTCGAGTGTTGTTTCATGCAAATAAAATTGAACACGTCGCTGCTCTTCCAATAGTCGTTGCTCTGCCTGCAATAGTTCAAGCAGTATTTCTTAGCTTATACATAAATGAAGCTAACATAAAAGTTTTTAAATATTGTTCTTTATAACAATAGAGCAAAACAATTTTAATTTGTTTCCGGTTTAAGTATCAAATATTTTAGAGACACTGTTACATGAAAGAATGGATGAACTACATGAAAAATTGTAGAACTAATAATGTTTGCATATTTTTCCTTTTACAATACATGATTATTTATGAATTATTCCTAAAATTGAAATAGATGTTATACACTGAATACATATGCAATTACTAGAGACCACATTGTAGAGCCATTTTATGATTCCAACATAATCATATACTTCAAGATACTAGGTATGTGATTTTGACATAGCTACTTGTACAAGAATCCCTGGAAACATTTAGTCAATTGTATTTTCTCAATAAATAGCAAATAGCAATCTTTAAAAAATGTCTAACATTTACATAACATGTTGATAATTTAAACAAAAAAATTATACAAAATTAAGCTATAGATCTTCCTTAATGGCACTTGGAATTTTTTACTTTTCAGTAACTTTCAACAATAATACAATTAAATGCCGCCACCACCACCACCACTACTACTCGTAATACTCAGTTGCGGATCCATTGGGGGGGAGGGGCTCGGGGGCCATTTCCCTCCGAAAAGGCCTAGAGTTTTTGTTACTTTCCTTTACTTGGCAAAATTGATTTAAATATTTATGTTAGAATTGTAATTATTTAAAAAATAATATTGTATAGTATCATATATACACTACAAAAATTTTATACAATATAATAACAAATATGTTTATCATTTAACAAAAAACATACAGACACCAAATGATGGCTGGATCTGCCCCTGTATCACTACCACTACTACTAATATTAATAAATATTGAATTGTATTAATGAATTAATAAACAATTCAATAGTACAATGAGAATTCCATTTAATAATACATTTCTTAATTTGATATAAAAGAAAAAGGAAACAATTGTTTATATCCACAACAAAATTTACTAATAAATGAGTAATAGATGGAGTGACTATTTACCTTTTTCATATACTCCGTAACAGGATTTTGACGTAGGAACTCCGTGCTCTCACGAGTATAGAACCTTTCTGTATCATCAAGGAACACATTTTCAAATGAATCTTTGTACACAGATAAATTTTGGCCCCGTGCCCCAGGATCCTCTTCATTCAAACCTGTAAGTAAATAGATCTTATGTGAACCTAGTAGAAGAGAATGACTCAAGTGAAAGTAAAAATGAGAACAAAAACATAAATGTATGGTCCATAGGTACACTATAAATGAGATGATCATATACAATACATTAAAAAATGTATAATTCTCAAATGAAAAGATTGTGAATAATAAGCTTACCTAATTCTACATAACAATTTATCACACCGCTAACCAGTCTCGTATTTATAGTCTCTCCATTACGTTCTCGTTCAATAAGTTTAAGAACAGCATTAGTAACCTGCAAATTAAAGCTATTAATAAAGTTTCTAAAATAAAAACAAACAAAATTTCATTATCATACATGCACTATTATACAATGCATGTATGATATGCAATGCATGTATGATATACAATGCATGTATGATATACAATGCATATGATTATTATGCATATTATGAAATTGCATTATCATACATGCATTATCATTTAAAAAAATAAGATCAAATATTTTCTAGTAACTAGTTTCTGGGAATAGGAGTGCAGACATTACTTGAATATTTAATTAGTACACAAACTCATGCAGGTCTAAATTTGATACTTCTATAGTGCACTTAGCTCACTAAGACACTATGGGTAAAAGTAAATTAATAATAAAAGTAAGGATATGAACAACTCTTTAATTTTTTATTTAAATTATAGATACTGTTTAGCATATTTCTCCAAAAGTTATAATTCAAAGGCATGTACACAACTCCCTGGATCTTTGTCAGTTCTAGAGATTCATAAAACAATTCAAAAAATATTTAATATTATCATAATCTATCTTTACAAATTGAAATTAGTTTTTATTTGGATTAATTTACGATATTTAGACAGACCTTCAGACATTAACATAACGAAAATAAAACTCAATTCAATTAGTGGTTCATAAACTAACACTGGTGAAAAATTGGATTTTGGGGAATGCATAGAATGAACAACATGTAAGGAAGTCAACAACTTATTAAAATACAGTGGAAAAAAAAGTTGATAGAAAAAGTAATAAGAAGTATGTTGAACCATTAGAAATGTTTTTTTCTGAATCTGTCTGATAAACACTAGTATTTAACACAGCTGATAATGGCATATTGTATGAAGGACTTATTACTTTGCATTTCATTTCTTCTGCTTAAATCTTTTACATTAAGGCAACAGTGGTACATGCAAAAACTAGTGAAGCTGCAACGCACATACTTTCTCGCAATGTTTCTAAATGATCTGCAATATAATGATTTGACAAACTGATTTGATATGACATACGTTTTACAAAAACGACAAGAGTTGTAAACATGTTTAAAATTTTGAAATACGAAAATGACATACTACACACACTTCCACTTTATTCATAATCTTAATAGAAAGTATATGTGAGTAGAATTGTTTCAAATGATTTTCAATAGTTTTCTGTGGCAACAGAGTTGTGACAAATAACAATCCCCCAAGCCAGTCTCAAGCCAGAGTCCTTTCCCTCCAAAAACAACATTTAACAACTTCAGCTATCTGGGTTATACAGAGAATTGGAACTTCTATAACAGTTATAAGCGCCTTAAGACAACAATTGATTTCATGATGATGATGATTAAGATTTAAGGGCGCTTTAGCAGCTAAGGTCATTGGCGCCTGTGTCAATTTCTTTTATTATTATTATTATTATTTTTATTATTATTATTATTATTATTATTATTATTATTGTTGTTGTTTTTATTCCTATTTATAAAAATGGAGTTATTTATCAAATAGAAAATTCATTGTTAAACTTGCAAATTCAGAAAGATCCTTAAAAGATGTTAAATATGGTGTACCCCAGGGAAGTCAATTGGGACCAATTTTATTTATATTTATATCTAAATGTGAATAGCTGTCACTTATATATTATATATATATAATATAATATATATATAATATATATATATATATATATTATATTATATAATATTATAGGCGTTATGGGGATTGTGCAACCTCATAACACACACTTCTCAATGTGTGAACACTACGGAAGCAGCGAGGATAACAGACGCATAAGCAGAGGTACTAAACCCGGCCCTGTATCGTTGCTCGACTAAACGAAACAACTACCAAGCAATGTTTTCCTTGGAAGGGTTGAGAGAGGGCAAGCAGCCCACTGGGAAATTTCCCAGTGCGCCGCGGATAAATCACTCGAACCCGCAAGCGGAAGCTCTCTTTTTACTTTCACCACGCGTCGAGTAAGCAGCTCTTTTACACGATAGTCGACGTCAACATTTCGTATAACTTAGTTTAGATATGTTTTGCCGCTGCGCAACGACCTACTAGGTACGACAGTATTCGCGTCGAACAGACGTTTTAGTTATCGTCCGCGAGATAGGCATTAGAGTGTAAGTTTCTTCAATTAAACAACTGGGAAGTTAAAGAAGGTACCCAGTTGTGAAGAAACAATAAAAGTTTCTGCCTTAGCAAGTAAATAGTAGAACGTAGCGAGGAACTTGCAATCGAGTATCTGGTAAAAGTGCAGGGACATCTTTCGCCACGGGTGGGCCTAGTCGAGCGCGCCGGTAGGCAGACAGAGCGGAAGATAAACGGACGGACCCAGGCGCACGAGAAGAAGACGGAACGGCTGGGAGAAGCAAGAAGAAGGACGTAAGAAGGCAACGGCAGACCGAGAGCAATCCGTTTCTAACGACGCATAAGCTGGGACCGGACGGCGTCGGAGGCGCACAGCGACCAGCCGCACGACACATCATAGGCCAAAAGTGGAAAGTTCCACGAGGTAACAGTTACAATGCGCGGAAAATCAAGGTCAAGTTCACGTCGGCAGGGGAAAACTAGTATAGGCAAGTTAAGAACTTAGGACACGGTGCAACAAATTACAGTATTCATATAGAGACGTTTTGAATGCGGCTATGCCTGCTAAAAAGCATTTACTCAGTTACATGTTATTATTTCGCTATTTTCAGAGACAGTCAAATTGACATGAGATAGTGCACTTGCCACATTCTGTTCTTACAGTATGTAATATCTCGACAGCGAGAGATTGTAAAGTTGAATTTTTGGTTTCATTGCACATGAAATTAGGATAGAAACAAATTTAGATATAATAATTTTTCAAGGGGAATTCCCAGTGTACGTTTAGGGTATTATTTCAGAGTATCATTTGAAGTAAATTGTGTGTCATCACATGAGTTGCTGTTGTAAGGTTCTAATCTGTGTTTTGATTATTCTTTGTAAAAGTGTGGATCTATTTTCTTGTTTTGTATTCAACTTATGCTGCCAAAAAGTTTTAGGGTAAATAATACGCCGTATGGTCACTGTCTAGTGATTTTATTGTGTCAGGGGGTTCAAATACCTTTTCTGCGACCCTGAAGATTCCTGCTCCCTACATTTTTTAAAGCTCGCTTCACCGAGCAAAATCTTATAACTTGCCGCTTACCGTCATGCGTGCTACTGTGCAGGTACCAAGTTGGGTGTAGGTGGTTGGCTAGATGAATATATTACTATATACTATATCTATATACTATCATATTATATATAGGGAGAGCGAATTCCGACACGACTTCGGGCGGAGCCGAAGGTTGCCGGAAGACGCCCGCCGCCGTTGCCACGGGGCCCCGCTCGTAATCCAACCAGCAGGTGGCTCTTAAAACATCAAGGTAGCGTTGATTGTGCATTATTACCAAGGCCTTGCGCATTGCGTATTGTAAATAATCTTTGTAAAGAGTGTTCTATTATTAAAATATTTAAATGCAGCAAAAGAGATTTCTGTATGATCATCTTTCCAAATGCAAGCGCCAAAACCCTGGAAGCCATTTCACAGAAAATGTACCGTCCCCTTTGTCAAATTTATTTGTCGTGAGAGTACCGCTTTTCCCAGGTACGCTCAACCATAATTGAATTCAAAATAATACTGTTATAGCTAAACTGTAAGTATATGGACTTAGAGCAAAATTTAAAACAATTTATAAAAAAGGTAAAACTATAAATGTATTTTTTCTCAATTTTGTTACTTTTGTATATATACATAACAACATTAGAAATGTTAACCATTGTTTAATTGGTGTTATAGATTATATCACTGTGACACCCCATATGTACAATTGTTAACAAATAGGATTTTATGTTAATTATATTAGGTAAAATTAATAGTAATGTCAACATATGAATTTAAAGATTTATTATTATTATTATTATATTATTATTAATAATTAATTATTTCTTATTATTATTATTTTTAAAGAGAACACACACTATCAGTGGCCAGACTAAAACCTTTTTTATGGCAAGGTGTTCAATATTAAAAAATGGGTTAGTAGAAGGAGCTAGATAAACAGTTTTAAAATCTCAATATAAAGTACA